ATCATACTTTTTTTCCCTGCCTAATTAAAACTGTCAATTAGAGTGTGAATAAACAGCCTAACAGTAATGAGGTTATTGAACCTGTTCTCAAAATTCTCAACTGCAACTGCAAAAATTTGATGCAAGAGAAACACACAACAAATTTTAATTTACTTTAGTGGTAGCAGCACCAGGTGGCTTCTTCAGTGAATACGCCACACTTAGCAACCTCCGAAAAACTGTGACAGTTGGGTTTTTATAAGGGACAGGGTCTGGTCCCGGAACCTCTGCGGCAGAAGGAGTAAAATTCACGGCAAACTACACTTTCAGTTTTAGTGACAGAATGGAACATGTATGTTTATGCATGCACTGACAAAAATCAATCAGGCCTTCAGTTGTAGGCCAAACAACATTGAACACAGACTGTCGATACAGTCTGTGTCTGTGCTCTACATTTTCTGGTGTGCCGGCTAAAACTAAAACATGTGCACACATCAGTATGAACCAACTGTGTGCTCAAAGAAGTGACAATATGGACAGCTAAGGGTATGGGATAGTGTTCCCATAGCAACAGATACAAAGCAGATACATCAGGGTTCAATGCAGCAGTGATAGTACAGTTAGTCAGTTTCAGATTTGGATTAGCAATGCAGCTTCCATCTAATATTATTGATGAGTAACTCTATGTGATTACCTCTATACTTGGAGCATATCATATTTTCATCCCTTGATGGTGCTGACTGCCTGCTCCCCCTTCATTCCTACTAAAGCTTTCTGTTTAGTACAGAAGAAAAGCCTAAGTGGTGCTTTTGTCAGATTAGACACCAAACTCACAGTTAAACAAAGGGCCATTAAGTGTCTCAAGCTACTGAGACAAGTGTTTTCCACATTTCAGCATTAACAAAGAAATATATGTCACTTCCAGATTTTATGGGGCTTTAATGAATTATCCCAATTAACCAGTAACTGTCCTGATTTTCCACACTTGGCAAGATGATGAAGGCAATCTGCCGCATTTTTTTCCCACAAATGATGCGTTGATATTGCTTTGTGCACATGGACTGTGCGAGGCAGCAGATGTAGCAGAAAGTGGGGGAACGTGACTGGTGAAAAAAGCAGCAGAACCCACCTGACCTCTTATGCAAACTGTCCCTGCTCATCAGTTTACTCATTCATCGTTGCATTGTAACTGTAGAAGGCGTCCTGACCTGAGCTCTTTTGAGGTGGGACAGGTGCTCGTCAACCTGGCGGCGCAGCTTGGCAGGCACTTGGAAGATGGTGTTGTGGTGCTCCATCATGAAAGTCACCAATTTGGTGGCAAGTAACTCGTCCAAGTCCATGTCGTCGGCTGAGCCCAGGACGCAGGGAGAGAACATCTGCACCATCTGGACAGAAACCACAATGGAAGATGGATAAGAAACTAACTTCCAGCGACGCACATTAACTATATTGAATAAATGACACGATTATCGGAGGTATACACAATATAATGAGCACCTGTCAAATAAATCCAAAGCAATAGCCATTTTTGTGAAGCATTGTTACAGACAGGAATGATGGTATTTTTATCATTGTGGCTTAGCAAATTACATGCTTAGTAGTAGAATATTCAAAGTTACTAATAAAACAACAAGAATAGATTTGGCAGCCTAGAAGCTGTAAATGAACACTGAAGTTCAGATATTAAGGATATATTGGACCTATGATATAAATTTTAATCCAATACAGTCAACTTCCCTCTCATCCACAGCTACTATGTTTGACACAAGGCCGGTGCTGGATAAAACAGTACTGTTCTGACAGTGCCTGAAGCTGGCGGTAATGGGATCTCATTTTTACCATCATGAGTCAGGTTGCACTGGACTCTCCTTGTGATTTAAATGGTCATATTTAATCTCAGTATTACTGTCCGGCTCTTTTGGCTGTTTGTACTCATTAATCTCCTCCTCCAATTTCAGTCAAACAAGGTAATACAGACTCATTGGCTTTATGATACACAGATCAATGATGCTTACTGTAGTGTGTAATCACCTCCTGAAGGCCCATTTTGTGCTAGGAACAACCCTGGAGTATGTCTTCTGATGTTACAAAGTTGTATCTTTGTCTTTACATTCTGAATGGCTTTACATGTAGCATCTTCTGCTGTGAGCTTTGAGTCTTTTACAAAATATCTAAGTCTTGTGCAGGTGTGTGCATTATTCCCTGGGTTGTATTTTCCAGTCAATCGTGATGTGGTGGTAAAAGGGAGTACAAATTTACAGCGACTGTAAGGTGTATCTCTCCCTTAATACACTATACCTAATTTTCATGGGTAATCTTTCCTCTGTAGTGTACTAAATGCATTAAGATAGGCAGAGAGGTGAAAAACAACACAATAAAACAAATCATTATTGTGATCATAGCTGTGAACCCTGACCTTTCATCTAACTTGGGTCATACACATAAATTAAAACAGTCTTAAATTCATCATCTGCACTGAATGCATCAGTTATTCACAGATGGTGTCAACTTGAGTTTTCATTCGTATTACACAATATATTCACATTGGATGACTTCGCATCAATGACATCACAGAAAATGTATTACTATGTCTCCCACAGTGGTCAGATTCTGATCTTTTTTTCTTTGAAGAGAGGATTGTTCATCTCCCAGAGACTGTTGCTCTGAATGTCACTTACTCTTGACAGGAAATAAGTCTGGACAAACAATATTTCCCACCACTTAACACTACCCTTAGGTCTGCATGTTTTTTTTCTCATCAAGTGTACCTCATTAGAGATTATATGAGAGTCGTTTTCCCCCTTCATAACCCAATACAAACATACAATAAGCTATGGAAAACTAAATATTAAAAATTTCTGTTGCAAGTTGGGATGTCATGAGAATACTTTGATTTCAAGTTGATGCCAAAATACTGAAAATGTGACGGTACTTGTTTTTTTCTATGTTACTGTAGCAATCGCTATGTTAAGTAGAACGGATGCTGTAGGTTCTGTAGGTACTAGACAATAACTTAAACATGTGCAATAGTGGCAGCAAGTACAGCAACATTTCTGCTAGGGAAAACAAACAAAAAAAAAACCCCACAGAATTGTTAATGGAAATATTTAGTGCTTGAGTCAAAAGTTACCCATCCGAAACTGTACACAGAATTCAAGGAGAGAGTTTCAGGTGTTATTGTTATATTAACAGCATGTCATAAAAATGCTCACATCCTGAAATGGTAAGTTAGCGCTGTGTACTCCACAGGTCACTGTGTTGGCAGCAGTTTATTTATTTATTTTTTAATAAAAGTAATATTGAAATTGACATTTTATTTATTTATTTTCTGGTATCAGACTATGTATTGAGAATCTTGGAATTCAAAGGTTAAAGTACGGTTATCAAATTTCTGATAGAATGACATCCTTAGTGACAAACTTGATAAAAGTAGCATTATTTGCCTCATGGTGTTTATATATCATCATTTGTCAGGGCTCCAGACTAAGTTTTTCATTGGTGGCACTGGCACAACCAACTTTCTCATTTGGTCGCACCTCCCACCTTGCTACAGGCAAAACATATGACTTGCTGAACATTTTCTTATCGATAGACGCTACAATTTACTGATGTTCCCTAAATGCCCCACATCGCAGGCTGGGGTAGCTGCTGTTGGTATCTGTGGTGTGCTCAGACAGGGATGCTACCAAAGATGACTTTAAAAAGATTCAACTAAGGTGTTCTCATGTCAGATTTGTCCATAATGAAACCAAGTGACTTATTTGTACATGCACCTTTTTCTATGAGCGGAATAAACAGTGATTGCAGGTGCGCTCCGGTTTTCACGAGAAGACCTCATTTTTAAGTGTAAATAGCGCAATACACTCAAGTTATAAAAGTGCTACTTTGCACCACTGTGGTTAACGCAGCAATCACGCACTCGCACAAATGTCACTACTTGAAAATTTAACTTACACACTCTCAAAGAAAGGTTGTCATTTTGGTTGCAGTCTGGAGCCCTGATTACTATCATGCATTTTTTCCCCCAAAACAACTGATCTCAATATACCGAAGAACTTGCAAAAACAAAAAAACAAAACAAGAATGTGTACCAGCGTGCGTGTAGCGATGGTGTCATTGAGAGGCGGAAGGTGAGGATTCTGGCAAACACGGGCCATGAGACGCAGTAAAAGCTGGAGGCGTCTTCGGTTGGGTGGTGGCAGTAGCAGACAGCTGACTTGAAGAGCCTCAGTGGCAACCTCTTGCTCGTGCAGCAGACCTGCGGTGTAATAACAGAAGAAGAGTCTTGATCCCTGAGGGCAAACATGCAATCTGGACAAAATGAACAGCAGCAAATATTTACCTGTAGCTGGACAAAAACATTGCACTGGATCCACATTGTGAAATACTCACTGAGAATGTTGACAAAGACTTCATAGAGATGGAAAGTCAGAAGAGGTTCTTTGAGTCTGTGGAAGTAGTCGGCTACTGTTTTCAGAACATCCCGCTCGAACCCTGGGTACACTGGCTGTTTGGTCTCATTCCCATTAGGCCCTGAGAAAGAAGACAAAAGCAGGTTTTATTCACAAACCAAGCCAAATAATGCAGCGTGCAATGCAACAAATATACAGTTAAAAGCTAATGATAAATGTATACAGATAAAAATGCAAAAGCACAGTGCTTTATGTAAAGACAACTTAAAATCTAAAACCTTTCATATTTAAGATTTTTACAGTTTACTCCAGAGTATGAAAATCACTCTTCCAGAATGTTTAACAATAACTTAGCATAAGTTTGCAGACATGATCATGATCTATACCATTCTACTTGTTTTACTATATCCTTCAGGTGCTGATCTTCACTGCACATCTGGTCCTCAAAGACGCTTAATCAGATTCAAAGCAGATGGGCTTTTAAATGTTTTAACATTAAGGATTAGAGTCAACAAAAACCTTATACTTACAGTTGGCGAGGCATTTCATTGCTGATACTACCCAATAGGGCATGTCTTCTGGAGATACAAGGGAAATAGGTGAATTGAAATGTTCTTGTAAGTTGCAACAAAGAAGCAAAGGAATTGTTCTTCCAAATGTGAATCAATGCACCATACCGGCTTTGTTCTCCAACACGACTATGCCTGTTTTATTGACACTGAACACATTGTGAACAATGTGTTTTCCATTCACATGCGTCGGATTTAAGACTCCATCCAATGTCTGCAAGCCCAGCACTCTCTGTAAACTAAGACAACAGCATCAAATAGCTGAGAAAAAAAACAACTACAAACAGCATTGACAGAGGTGTTTAATAAATAATATGAAAGGTAACATACTGTGCAGCTGTCATCGATTTCCAGATATGGTCCACTTGTTTTGAAGTTATCTCCTTCCTGCGTATGAGCTTGCATTCATGCACATCTCCAATAGCTACGCTGTGCCTTTTATTCCACAAGTCTGAAGTCTGTTCAAAATGGAAATTTTCCTTTTATTTTTACACAAAGTCAGTACAGTTTAATAGCAATTCAATACAGTTATGTGATACAATAAAAGAAATGAATCCTACTTTTAAAAAGTTTCAAATTTTTACTAATGTTACCACTGTGTAAGGTGTGTTGATGTTAACTCTACGGTAACTTTTAGACTGTGCAGGAATGCATTACATTCTAAGGTTTGGGGTTTCTACAATTTTTCTTTCTAATATGCAGACAGAACATTTGAAGTGGCTCTTGTACTGCATTACATCAAACATGCCTTTTAAATTCTCAGTGTGCAGTATAACCTAAGGAGTATAATCAGGTAAATGACAGCATTAGCGAATAACTGAAACACTGAAGCAAAATTATCACATTATGCAATTTGTTCTCTATTAAATGTGCATATTTGCATACACTTCAAGCACAGCATGAGTTAATAAAGCACAGAAGTGGCTGGAACATCTCTTTCTCACCATGACAGCAGACTTCAGAGGTGCAATGTTTTCCTGCTGAGGCAGTTCCTCATAGTCATCCCAGCGGATAAGTCTGGGCAGGTCGCTGCTGTCTCTCAACAGAGGCCTTGTTGGAAAAGACTTTAGGGGAGACAGTGTGGGGAACCTGGGAAGACAACAGAACTGAGTTCATCCAAGGGTAGAAAGAGAAGTATTTTGCTGAACCATAAAGATACAACAGTAATGCCTTCTGGCGTGCGAAATACCACGAGCACCCACACAGAATAACAAAGTTACCTGTACAGATGGCCATTGTCTTCGAAGTCCTCTGTCCCATGGCGTCCTTTGATGTCTTCAATGACATGAGCCTTGAGGAACTTTCGGAGCAGCTGCAGAGTCTGATAGCGAGTCACCTCAGGTCCAAAGTTGTAGTTTTGTCTCAGCAACTCATGCAGATAATCCACAGCCTCAGATCCCGTGAAGCTGCAGTCAAAGTAGCGAAAATGTGCCCAGTGCCTTCTCAGTGGCATGCCTCCGCGAAAAAGTTTGATGGTTTCATTCCACTGCATAACACGGAGACACAATGGAGTGTGAGAACCATATGGCATGCTAATATTCTACTGATAGCACTAATCTCATACGGCCTAGATAACAGCATTTGACACATTCACTAAGTTTCTGTTCTCATCGCTAAAATGTTGTTTACAACATTTTTTAGTAATGGCTTCATAGACTATTTCATAGTCTAATGTGGCTGTACCAAATCAGTGTGCACAATGGCCATCAGTGCTCCACACCCATAAACTGCACATAAAGATCGATGAACACTGTTGTGAATTCACCCAAAAGGTTTTCCAAACAGCAGCTGGCCTTGTAAATCCTGGCTAATCCAAAAATTAGCAAAAAGGTAAAGCATGAGTGGAGCTGAGGCGGGCCATGCAAGCGTCTCTGGGCCTGGACTTTCCTATAATGGCACCCACTGGACACTCAAATGGCCACAACCTTAATTATGCATAATGTTAAGTCAAATTAAATGGGTGAGTTACATGTAAATTTACCCCCTGTGCAATTACGACAAACAGGGAAATTAGTTCCAGAAAACCGTTTTTTGTATCAGGCTAAATCTGTTCATTTCTGCTGTAAAGTCGGGCATTTTCACATGGGATTCTACGGGGAATGACTCACTTCTGTAGCCAGCCTCAAGACATTTGACGAACTACAGTTTTTGGTACTTCTGTGCTGACTTCATTTCATTGCACTTGAAGGTAGTTATGGTTGCAAGCCATACTGATTTTGATTCACACACTTACATTTATTTATTCTAACAGCAAATGCAAGACATATACTGTTGTCAAAATCTGCATATTTGAAAACAGCTCTACTTATCCGCTTGTCAGGAAAAAAAAAAAAAGTACAGGTATCAAAACAAACAGAATGCCATCTCATTATAGTGTTTTGGTCGGTTTGGGATTATCAGCTCTCATAAGTATCCAGATGGGTGGGAGAAAAATTAAAGAAGCAGATAAAAGCAGCTAGGGGGATAAAGAGGAATAAAGAAGGTCATTACAACCCAAGGGAGTCCTGAACTGTATAAAGCAAATGTTGTTAAGGCAAGAAAAGCTCTGCTGTGGCTGATGGAAATCATGAAAACTGCTTAACATGTGATGGGAGAGATTAAAAAAATCTTCAGACAACTAAAAAGCCAAGAGGCCAGTTTGAAATCATTAGAGAAAAGAGGCTAGGGATGGGCTTTCATAAAAACAAGATGCAAAAAAAAGAAAAAACATTATGTGCTACAGTAAGAAACAACAAACAACATTGTCTGTCTTTCTGTGTTAGCACTGTGGTAGACTTCTGACCTTCCCTGGTTGAACCACGCCTTTCACCTTTTGTCAGCTGGGATAGACTTCATGTCCCCGTGGCCCTCCACAGGATAAAGTAGTCATACATAACGGATGGATGGAATAAAAATGGAATACTAAGTGTGTATCTGCATGTCTCCTTCCCCCAGGTGTTCCCGGGGCAGCAGGTGGAATGTTATCTGAGGGTTTTTCTTCATGTTTTTGAAGAAAAGCATTTGGGATTTTGATAACAGAAACTGTGTGTTTAATAGCAAGTACCTGTAACCTTGGTTTGTAGAGAGTAAATTCCAGTAAAATTTATTTAAATACTATTTGACACAAATGTAATACACAATAGCGGAACATAGTAGTCAGATGCCTGAAAGACATAAATTGCTACTGAATTAACCGAGCTGAAATCAGTCAGGAAAGGGATAAAAATATGACTTGCTAATAAGCCCCTCCACTGTGTCATGGCTTTTTGATTTGAAAGCACTTTCTTCAAAGGACTTGCAAACTGGGCATGTACCCTCAGCTGACTGAATCTTTTCTGCAGAAGTTCTTGTGACACTGAGTATTCAGCCTTTTTCAATCAAGACATTTTGACATGACAAAAAATCATAGGCATAAACAACAAAATTAAGGGCGGCTGAATATCATTTAGCTGCTCTTGTTTCAGTGTCTTGTTGTTGTGCATACTGTCAGTACACCATCACACTGGTATGAACACTTGAAAAGAACTGAGCTAACATTTTTAGCAACACCTTTGTTTTTACTACTGCCACAAGTCAGAATGGTGTATTCTGATAGTGCATGCTGCACCATAAATAGAAATTCACTAAATAATTTTGCACTAATATGTATATTACTTAATAAAAGTTGAGAGGGGTTAAAAATGACAGAACATGAATGCAGAAAATGCAAACAGAAACAGTCGGGTTTGTTGTGTATGAAGCCTATATATGTGTTAATGCCAAGCAACTGCGTATAATAAGTGAACACAGCATTTACCAAGAACTTAGGCTTGTAAAGAGGGGCATTAATGCTAATGAACTGCAGAGTACAGCATAGTTCTGACACACGTACACACAATATTGCACAGTAGGTGTTAATGGTGAAGCAATGCTAGTTAGTGGGCAAGTGAGACTCCTAACATTGGTGCAGTTTTGCCAACTTTTTCCCCCAAAAGACGCTTGAAATGATGAGAGTCTGCTGTGTTAGCTAATTAACTTAGTCACCGTTAAACTTACTGCCAAGCTACGGTTGAAATTACGCTATTATTTTCGTGTGCTGGAAATACAATTTTAACATCACCCCAATTTACGGTAATACAACTACGGTATGCTGATGAAATGAGCAAGTTCCAGTTTACATTATAACGTTAAAACGACGCTAAAGGTCAAGCTTTTGTTTTAACGTCACGTCGCCAAAGTTACCACCAGACTCACCAGCTTTGTCGCCCTGTATGGACCCGGTCCGATAACTGTACCTTCCATGCTGGTGCCCGCTTCGCTGTTACGAAAACATGGAGATATAAAAGTTTTTTTTGTTTTTAAGGCTCGTTGAAAGGTTTAGCTGCAGAGATAAACACAAGTCCGACCACAGACGTTGTTGCCAACTTTGAATCTCGTGCGTCACATTGGTCGGACGACGTGATTGGACGACGAGCTGATCACGTGACCGACAGAAAGGTAGGCTGATGAATAGAGTAGTACAATCATTTGAGTACAATACACACAACGTTTGTCATATTTTTATGGCGTTTTTTTCAGAAACGTATTTTTTAATGCAATTGTGAATTAACTGTGAAAATATTCTCTCTCTCTCTCTCTCTCTCTCTCTCTCTCTCTCTCTCTCTCTCTCTCTCTGTCAGCACCAACTTAAAATAACCATCCCTGGATAATTAAACATATTAATAGTGATGAGTTAAAGATAATGACTATGGCATGTCATCCAATAGTAATTGTTTCATATCACACTTGGGATATCAGTGCCTTTTTCATTATACATCAAGCAGTTGCTATAAAAATGTATGCTCATATATATAGTTTGGAGCAATCAGAGGTTGAGACATCCCTACTGCTGCAGTACTTGAAATGCAACATTCTTAATAAATGACAAGTTGCGGGTAACATGATCTTTTAATCAAAGCTGTGTGACAGCTTTTGCAAAAGACTGCAGGCATTCCAAGGTGGCCTAAAGACAGTTGTTGTAGATAAGAAAAGGGAAATAATTGCCAAGATGACCTTGTCCAAATCAGCAGAGGAGTGAGGTAGTTAATAATTGATGCAGTTCGTAGCTGCTTCAGTGATTAGCTTAGCTGCATAGGAATGTAATTTTGTGGAGACAGGGTTGACTGATGATGGCAGCACCACCCCCTTAACCGACTCTCCAAAATTTAAACCGTAATAAACATGAAACATCTGGGGCACCTGCAGGGCTACAGATTTAATAACTCTTTCAAATTACATAATAAATCTGTTTCTTTCACTTAGGTCCTGTTTTTATAAAAACACATACAATGTAAAAAGTATTTTGTTTACTGTGGGTCAAACTTGAGAATCAAATGGCAAAAATAAATATTCATAATTGTGCAGTTTTCTTTTTAATTGCATTGTATAAATAAAATCTCTGACATCAAGCTGCTACTATCAGCAAGACAGTTACAAAGAATGTCTGAAGGGGAGCATATGTAGGAGCTGGAGAGCTAATAATTCAGGTCCCTAACATAATTCATTGACTGCACTCCTACGCCCAAACCCAAGCAAAGTCTGAAGTTTCTACTGAACCTGGTTGCTGTGCAACTCTGTTTCTTTACCAAATAAAATTTCTCCAAAGTTGTGGTGACATGACAACAAAAAATTCATAACTGACTAATTACAGTTGCAATTATGCTATAAGATGTGTGATGCTCCTCTAAAATTTTCTGCCCTGTAATACCCAGAGCATCATAAGCTGTTCCAGTTTTGTGTAATTCCTGTACAGTCGTGGCCAAAAGTTTTGAGAATGACACAAATATTAGGTTTTCACAGGGTCTGCTGCTTCAGGGTTTTTAGGTATTTTTGTCGGCTGTTTCTATGGTATACTGAAATATAATTACAAGCATTTCATAAGTATCAATAGCTTTTGTTGACAAATACACAGAATTTATGCAACAAGTCAGTATTTGCAGTGTTGACCCTTCTTTTTCAAGACCTCTGTAATTCTCCCTGGCATGCTGTCAATCAACTTCTGGACCAAATCTTGACTGATGGCATCCTTTTCTTGCATAATCAATGCTTGGAGTTTGTCAGAATTTGTGGATTTTTGTTTGTCCACCCGCCTCTTGAGGACTGACCACAAGTTCTCAATGGGATTAAGATCTGGGGAGTTTCCTGGCCATGGACCCAAAATATGTATTGTTCCCCGAGCCATTTAGTTATTATGTTTTCTTGATGGCAAGGTGCTCCATCGTGCTGGAAAAGGCATTGTTCATCACCAAACTGCTCTTGGATGGTTGGGAGAAGTTGCTCTTGGCGGATGCTCTGGTACCATTCTTTATTCATGTCTGTGTTTTTAGGCAAAACTGTGAGTGAGCCCACTCCCTTGACTGAGAAGCAACCCCACACATGAATGGTCTCAGGATGCTTTACTGTTGACATGTCACAGGACTGATGGTAGCACTCACCTTGTCTTTTCCGAACAAGCTTTTTTCCAGATGCCCCAAATAATAGGAAAGAGGATTCATCAGAGAAAATGACTTTACTCCAGTCCAGCAGTCCAATCCCTGTATCTTTTGCAGAATATCAGTCTGTCCCTGATGGGTTTTTTTGGAGAGAAGTGGCTTTGCTGCCCTTCTTGACACCAGGCCTTCCTCCAAAAATCTTCACCTCATGCAGATACACTCACACCTGCTGCCTTTTCCGAGCAAGCTCTGCACTAGTGGTGGCCCGATCCCACAGCTGAATCAACTTTGGGAGACAGTCCTGGTGCTTGCTGGACTTTCTTGGGTGCCCTAGAGCTGAGGTGCAGTCTTACTAGCTGCAATATCCTTCCCTGTTAAGCCTTTTTTGTGCAACTCAGTGATGACTGCACGTGCTTCCTTGCAGGTAACCATGGTTAACAGAAGAGGAACAATGATGTCAAGCACCATCCTCCTTTTAAAGCATCCAGTCTGTTATTCTAACTCAGTCAGCATGACAGATTGATCTTCAGCTTTGTCCTCGTCAACACCCACACCGTTTTAACGGAAGATTCACTGAAATGATGTTAGCTGGTCCTTTTGTGGCACAGCTGAAATGCAGTGGAAGTGTCATTTTGGGGGGATTAAGTTCATTTTCAAGGCAAAGAGGGACTTTGCAAGTCATTGCAGTTGATCTGATCACGCTTCGTAACATTCTGGAGTATATGCAAATTGCCATTATAAAAACTGAAGCAGCAGACTTTGTGAAAATTAATATTTGTGTCATTCTCAAAACTTTTGGCCACGGCTATATTGTGACAAAGAGGTCCACCAGTTTTATCTAAGCAGTAATAATTGGAGTTCTCTTTTCATCCATTCCTCTTGCTGCAGCAGTGGGAGAAGGACAATTCTCTGATCAGTAGGGTCAAGACAGAGCTACTTAACACACTTCAGATTGAGCTGACTGCCGCCTTGAAATGAACTCTGCAGTGAAAGTGCACCATTAAAATTTATGAGAAACACTGTGATGGTAATCTCTTACGCCTAAAGAATTTGAACTACTATATCTACAATAGCTTGGATTCAAATGCTGCAGTGACATATCATTATCAGGTTGCATCATTCACACTGTGGTATCACTTTTATTTTAATAGAAATCATTCTTTTTAGTCGTGCTACACGTTAAAGAAAGCCATAGGAGTTGTTGATTGCAGCTCAGTCAAACTAGGGCTGGAATACTAAAGCAAAACAAACCCAGAAGTCTGGGTATACCTGACAGATAAAGGCCAACAGACAACAATGACTGGGTATATTAAAGCTGTTTGCAGCTGTCCTCACAGGCTGAGGGATTGGTAATAAGTCTGGAACAACATGAGGGCATTGGCATTGTGACTTTAGATGTCTCCAGTAGTGGGAGAGATTCAGATGCTCAAAATGACAGTTGAGCCTACAGGAGGTGTCAGGAGCTTAATTAACTGAAATGTCCCTCATAAAGTGTGCCATCTCAAATAACTCTGCAGACAGCTCCGTCTTGAACATTCAGACCAGGTTTCATTCCACTGGACAAAATGTGCCTGCTTCCCTTGCCTCAAAACTCATCCCTGACTTTTCAGTGAAAGGTCACAGCAGTAACGAGGGGAGGCAGAGTTAAGGTAGCGAAAGCTTTGCTAACAAGGTGGAGGACCGAGGTAGCAATCAATAAAAACAACAGAAGCTAGTCATCATATCAGTCTACGCAGTGGGCCAGACAGACTCTGACAATATCTATGACCATTATCTCAAAGACACATTATGATTCATATATTATTGTGTCATGTTTCTTTGTGATCCCAGACAATATTATATAATATGTAATTGCTAACAAGTTCTCAAATTATACACTGTTGCCCATAAAGTTGGAATAATTTTAGTTTTCAGACACATTCCTCTTTTTATTTCTATCTATACACAGCAGTAAGGACTTTTGACCAGGTTCAATAATTACATACTGAGTCCCAGTTACCATGTGAAGCAAATTCTGACTTCAGGATCTGACTGGAGAGTGGGACATCTTGCTCATTGACAGCATCAACAAGCTGGTGGACAGTATGCCACGATGTCATAATGCATTGATCCGTGTCAAGGTGGCCATACTCAATATTAGTGACTGAGTGACATTTGAAAGGGTAACATTGGACATTTTTATGCATAAAATCCCTTCAAATATGTGTTTCCTGTTAACTTGGCAAGATGGAAAAACTGAAACAAAACCCTTAATCCTATTATTCAATACCCCCAATTTTATTTAAGCCTGAATACACAGTTTGCAAAAGTGGTTTAATTTTTACTGTGATATGTATTGTATGAATATTGTGATATCAATAAAGTTTTGAGAAGATATACACTTTATTTATCAAGAGTAAATCGCATTGTCACAATCATTTCATGACAAGAGGTAAAAAAATAAATAAAATTATTCCAACTTTATGGGCAACAGCATATATTCCAACAACATACATATACAACATAATATCAGGAATGAAAACACACTTCAACACAAGTTCTCACCTACATCCATGTTAGGATTAAGGCACGGCTTTGTCAGCAATTATAACACCACTCTGTGTGGAAAGGTTGACACACGTGGATACTGCAATGTATTGCCATTCTTTTTTGCAAAACTGCTCAAGTACTATAGGTTGCAGAGGGATGATGAGTGAACAAGCATTTTGTAGGTACAGCATGAACAGTGCTTTTCAAGATTTTGACTGTATGCTGGAGTTTTCTGGCCCTACAGCCCAGGCCTCTTGCAGGTCGTATTCATTTTACCTTTACCTTCACATGCCTTCCAAGGCC